TCATTCCCCTGGAAGATGGTATGAAATTGTAAACTGCTCCCACGAGTGGCATTTTTATTATGGACAGTGGTCAGAGGACGTGTTAACGGTGGATAACTTTCGTATAAGGGATTTTTATGTTACAGAGTAATGTTATATGTGTAGGAGGGATGGGAGACGATTGATCACTTATTTCTTCATTATGATGCTGCTCGTTTGTTGTGGAATGATATTTTGGTGTCGAAACTATTGATTGGTTGATGCCGAGGCGTATGGAGGACATGTTAAAGACATGGAGGAGAAAGTTTCATAATAAGGAAAGCAAACTTGTTTGTGACCTTATTCCGGGATGCATTGTGTGGTNNNNAAGAAATGGACGATGTTTTGAAGACTAAATACGGACAACATGGCAGTTTAGGGAGTTGTTTTATTTGACATTGTATACTTGGTTTAACGACGCGGCTACCAGGCATATAGATGGGTTGCCCAATTTCATGATTTTCCTTTCTGATTTGTATTGATAATACACTTCCTGTGTATTAAGCTTTTATTAATATAATATTTGATTATCTTTCAAAAAAAAAAAAATCAAACGAGCAAATCGATTCGTTTAAAGCTCTAACAAGAATTCAGATTCTAAGAATGGTGTGTTCAAACGAGCTACCATCTTGTGGTGGCATGTTAAATGTGATATTTTACATTGATTAAAGATGAAACAAATAAACAACATATAAGAAATTGGGCTGCTACTATTAATTAACAAGGTTGACCTTTATCAGAATTCATTATGCTCAAACGAGTACTCCGGTCCCTCTAAAGCTCAAACAAGCATTTAGATTAAAATATTAGTTTGCTATAATGAACCACCATCTTGTGGGGTCATGTTAAAGATTACAAGGTTGACGTTTTAAGATGAAACCAGGTTTTTATATGTTGGTTATAGTTTCGGTATTCAATGGATGTGGATTTTACCCTTAACAAAAGGGAGGTTCTGCAATTTATAGTGCTTGAGTACAATGGGGTTTTGCACGGTTGTTTTGGCACCAGTAGGGCTGACAGAACTATCCCTTGCAGAACAAGCAATCATTTATCCTGTACATATATGTACACGTTCAGATCACTTGCACAAATATTTAAGATTCCAGTGAAGTATATTTCAGTTTTTCATCATCGTTTGCTTGGTTCATCAGTGCAAGAAAAGATTTATGCAGCCCGCCCTGTTGATGTTGTTGTTGTTTAAATATTTTGTCACTTGCCAGTTGAATTAGCATCAAAATTAATTTTGTTAGAAAGAAAATGGCAGTGATTTGGTATATTTGGACATTGTAAAAATGCAGGGAATCGTGCATTGTAATAATAATGGAAGTAGTTTCCAATGAAGCATGGGACTTGAATTTGTTGTGTATGAAGAACAATATTAATCACCATGTTAGATGAAGGTTCTGAGATGAACTGCATGTGGTTATTGTTATTCGATTAGTGGCTATTGAAGCTTGTTTCTAATTGGATGCTGCAGATGACCCCCTTTTTTGTCTTCACAGAAGCATGCACATGCTCCTCTAATATACTTTGTATTTTAGAAATAAATAGACAATGTCTTGTCGGAATGATGGTCTGCGACTTCGTA